TTGGTTAAGCTCTTTATACCTTTGCTTTGACTCGGTAGAACTCTGCGTCATTGCTTTGACTCAATAAAAACGCGTTGACAATACTTTGCTTTTTTCCAAACCCTTATGTTAGTCGAGTGCCTTAAACATTTAATGTGTCAAACCGATGTTTTCTCTTGTTTAAATATTATACTTTATATTTATATATATTTCTTTAAATGGTGCACTTTTTTTCTTATTGTTAGCTATAAATATCACTTAATTTAATATCATACTGTGTTATTATTATATATACTATAATATATATATATATATATATATATATATATATATATATAATACAATTAGACAAATGTTAATGTATTTTAGTCATTTTCATTACTGTAATTGTATGAATAAATTAATATAATATAATTGTATTATTAAATACTGTGATACATTGATTGGAAGTTTTGAATAAAACTAACTGAACTTTATTTGAAGTGTTTCATTTCACGCAATTTTCAGTGATATATGTTAGAAACACACCGTATAGGTATAGGTATTATAAACATTAATATATTTGTTGATGTTATCATAAACATTAATATACTTATTAATTCGTTTTTTGGCGAGGATTTATTATTTTGAATAAATTTCATGAAATACATTACAATTTTTGTAATCTAATTCCATTATGATCAATGAAGTTAATAAAGTTATGACTTTGATAATTTCAATTAGACTAATCTATGGTTATTCACTCATTTCAAACATGTCAAAAATGATAACACTTTTCACTCACTTGAATCTATACTATTATTCAAAGTGTTAATTAATTCATTTTAATTAATATACTTTAAATATTGGTCAGTTTTACTTAACTTTGGACTTATACAATAAAGATCAATTTCTCAAATTGATTTTTTCCCTCTTTCGCACAATGACATCTTCATTTTTATTGAGATAATTTATTTTTATTAGATTATTTTATTATTATATTAATTGTATTAATTTTCACCGACACGTTTACCACCCCTTATCCTTACTTCACACTACCTTAACCTTATACCTACCTGCGTTAAGAACTAATACTCTTACCTTGCTTATGTTTACCACGTCTCGAACCTGCTACCCTGCTCTCTCCATTGACTCCCACCTCCTAACGCGCGACGCCACGACGATCACATTAGCAAACCGTTGCAAAGTAGATGATATTGTATATTTTAAACGGAAAAAAACTAACAGGTCATATGGCCAAAAAAAAGTTGGGTTTGTATGGCCTGTGTTGGCGTAATGCTTAGAGTGATGGCTTCGTACCATAAAGGTACCGAGTTCGAATCATACCTCAGGACAAAAAAAGAGTATTGTTCACGTTGTGGTATTTATTTAGTGTTAAATAATAACACAAAATTAATGTTTAGATATAACAAACTAACAAGTCATGAGGCCGAAAGAAAGCAGAATCGATGTGGCCTGTGCTGGCGTAATTGGTAGAGCGATGGATTCGTACCCATAGAGTGCCGAGTTCGAACCATACCTCGGGACAAAAAATGGAAAGCGTGGAATTTATTATTTATTGTAAGATAGCACAAAGATAAAATTTGGATTTGATAAACTAACAGGTCATGAGGCCGAAAAAAAGCAGAATCGATGTGGCCTGTGTTGGCGTATTGCTAGCGTGCTAGCTTCATGTCAACGGGGTACCGAGTTCGATTCATATCTCCGGACACAAAACGCAAAATAGCGTGACTGTTGACGCTGTGGAACGAGGTATGCACGGAATCACATCCGTTCGAATTTGAGACCCCAGGCAGGTATGCTCCCCTCGATCTCGATTGAGAGGAGAGATACGCGCGAGAATCCCGTGTCATCCCCTAATGAACCCCGCAGCAGCCCCGAAAAGGGGCGAGGGGGGATTATAGGGGGGTGTGGGGTTCGCGAACCCGCGACCCTGTGGTCCGACCCTCCCGGAAAAGGGAGAGGGGGGACTATAGGGGGGTGAGGGTTCCGCGCGACGACCACCACTGGGTCGCGCCGGTTGAAAAGCTGGGTGCGTCACAGGGTGGGTCGGTGTGCGAGTCCCCGGAGCACCCTCGAGTGCGATGATGGGGATGTGGGGTGAGGAAAATGCAGTGACGAGGGAAAAAGGGGTGGAAAGATATGAGGAGGGAGAGATAGGGATGGCGGGAGAGAGATAGGGGTAGGGATGAGAGAGGGGGAGAGAAATAAGGGGAGGAATGAGAGAGGGGGATAGAGATAAGGGGGGGAGAGATAAGGGGAGGGAGAGATAGGGGGGGATGAGAGAGGGGGGGATGAGAGAGGGGGAGAGAGACGGAGGGAGGTATGGATGAGGGAAGAAAGCGATAGGGGAGGAGACTAAACGCATTTTTCATGCGTTTAGTAACACGCATGTGTAACGTCCGCGCTCCATCCTCATCCATCCCTCCCTCCGTCTCTCTCCCCCTCTCTCATCCCTCCCCTTATCCTCCCCCTCCCCTTATCTCTCCCCCCCTTATCTCTCTCCCTCCCCTTATCTCTCCCCCCCTTTTCTCTCTCCCCCTCCTCTAATTCCTCCCCTTATCTCTCTCCCCCTCTCTCATCCCTCCCCCTATCTCTCTCCCGCCATCCCTATCTCTCCCTCCTCATATCTTTCCACCCCTTTTTCCCTCGTCACTGCATTTTCCTCACCCCACATCCCCATCATCGCACTCGAGGGTGCTCCGGGGACTCGCACACCGACCCACCCTGTGACGCACCCAGCTTTTCAACCGGCGCGACCCAGTGGTGGTCGTCGCGCGGAACCCTCACCCCCCTATAGTCCCCCCTCTCCCTTTTCCGGGAGGGTCGGACCACAGGGTCGCGGGTTCGCGAACCCCACACCCCCCTATAATCCCCCCTCGCCCCTTTTCGGGGCTGCTGCGGGGTTCATTAGGGGATGACACGGGATTCTCGCGCGTATCTCTCCTCTCAATCGAGATCGAGGGGAGCATACCTGCCTGGGGTCTCAAATTCGAACGGATGTGATTCCGTGCATACCTCGTTCCACAGCGTCAACAGTCACGCTATTTTGCGTTTTGTGTCCGGAGATATGAATCGAACTCGGTACCCCGTTGACATGAAGCTAGCACGCTAGCAATACGCCAACACAGGCCACATCGATTCTGCTTTTTTTCGGCCTCATGACCTGTTAGTTTATCAAATCCAAATTTTATCTTTGTGCTATCTTACAATAAATAATAAATTCCACGCTTTCCATTTTTTGTCCCGAGGTATGGTTCGAACTCGGCACTCTATGGGTACGAATCCATCGCTCTACCAATTACGCCAGCACAGGCCACATCGATTCTGCTTTCTTTCGGCCTCATGACTTGTTAGTTTGTTATATCTAAACATTAATTTTGTGTTATTATTTAACACTAAATAAATACCACAACGTGAACAATACTCTTTTTTTGTCCTGAGGTATGATTCGAACTCGGTACCTTTATGGTACGAAGCCATCACTCTAAGCATTACGCCAACACAGGCCATACAAACCCAACTTTTTTTTGGCCATATGACCTGTTAGTTTTTTTCCGTTTAAAATATACAATATCATCTACTTTGCAACGGTTTGCTAATGTGATCGTCGTGGCGTCGCGCGTTAGGAGGTGGGAGTCAATGGAGAGAGCAGGGTAGCAGGTTCGAGACGTGGTAAACATAAGCAAGGTAAGAGTATTAGTTCTTAACGCAGGTAGGTATAAGGTTAAGGTAGTGTGAAGTAAGGATAAGGGGTGGTAAACGTGTCGGTGAAAATTAATACAATTAATATAATAATAAAATAATCTAATAAAAATAAATTATCTCAATAAAAATGAAGATGTCATTGTGCGAAAGAGGGAAAAAATCAATTTGAGAAATTGATCTTTATTGTATAAGTCCAAAGTTAAGTAAAACTGACCAATATTTAAAGTATATTAATTAAAATGAATTAATTAACACTTTGAATAATAGTATAGATTCAAGTGAGTGAAAAGTGTTATCATTTTTGACATGTTTGAAATGAGTGAATAACCATAGATTAGTCTAATTGAAATTATCAAAGTCATAACTTTATTAACTTCATTGATCATAATGGAATTAGATTACAAAAATTGTAATGTATTTCATGAAATTTATTCAAAATAATAAATCCTCGCCAAAAAACGAATTAATAAGTATATTAATGTTTATGATAACATCAACAAATATATTAATGTTTATAATACCTATACCTATACGGTGTGTTTCTAACATATATCACTGAAAATTGCGTGAAATGAAACACTTCAAATAAAGTTCAGTTAGTTTTATTCAAAACTTCCAATCAATGTATCACAGTATTTAATAATACAATTATATTATATTAATTTATTCATACAATTACAGTAATGAAAATGACTAAAATACATTAACATTTGTCTAATTGTATTATATATATATATATATATATATATATATATATATTATAGTATATATAATAATAACACAGTATGATATTAAATTAAGTGATATTTATAGCTAACAATAAGAAAAAAGTGCACCATTTAAAGAAATATATATAATATAAGTATAATATTTAAACAAGAGAAAACATCGGTTTGACACATTAAATGTTTAAGGCACTCGACTAACATAAGGGTTTGGAAAAAAGCAAAGTATTGTCAACGCGTTTTTATTGAGTCAAAGCAATGACGCAGAGTTCTACCGAGTCAAAGCAAAGGTATAAAGAGCTTAACCAAGATGCGGCAAGATGGTTGCAAAAACCCAAACAGTAAAGAAACTGTTTTACACAATTGTCTTACACTAAAAGTGCACTCAATAAGTATCCCTATTAACAACACAAGAAATTTTTAAAATGTAGACATGTTTAAATATTTCTGTAATTTACTTTACAGCATGATGTGATTTAGCCGTGAAGTGGCTCATAATTAAATTAAAACAACAAGTTTAAATTAAATACAATAGATTTATTCATTATTTCATTAACATCTAAGCACTTAACTATTTAATAAATCATAGTAGGCATCTTCTCTGGTGAAGAGACGGACGGACGGACGGACGGACAGCATAATTAGTAGATCAAATGATTGTTCTCACTCATGAGCAACTTGAGCGTTGAAGAGCACTTGGCTTGAAGTTGGTTACCCTATAAACGAAAACAATGAATTAGTAACAAGGTTCATAAAATATACTATAAAGAATAAATTACCTGATTAATCATGCAGCGGTGTCTTCCACGTAACCCCATTAAGACCTTCATAGTAAAACTCAACAAGTGGTTTTTATATTAACTGCCTAATTAAGTTAGTGAGGTTAGTCATGTTATTGAGTTAATAAGAGTTAAGTTAATCATGCATAATTATAGACAGTCATTGAAAAAAACCACTTGCGAGTCATTCACATGAATGAGTGTTCCGAGCTCTTGATTTTAAGGCTTCAGGGCAGTAATAGCAGTGGTTGAAAGTACCTGAAAAAAAATAAGCATATTATTTATTGTTCACATTTATACTGATTATGGATAAAAACGTACTTTTTAAATTATTTTCAGAGCGATTCTTGGTGAAGGGGTCAGTGTCCAGAGCAGCAGTGGTTGAAAGTACCTGGTAAAAAATAAACATGTTATTTATTGTTCACATTTATACTCATTATGAATAAAAAAGTACTTTTTAAATTATTTTCAGAGCGATTCCTGGTGAAGGGTCAGTGTGCAGAGCAGCATTAGATGCAAGGACCTGGAAAAAAAATAAACATGTTATTTATTGTTCACATTTATACTTATTATGGATAAAACGTACTTTTTAAATTATTTTCAGAGAGCGATTCCTGGTGAAGGAGTCAGTGTGCAGAGCAGCAGTAGTTGAAAGGACCTGAAAAAAAATAAAATTGTTATTTATTGTTCACATTTATATTGATTATAGATAAACATATAACTGGTAACAAGTTTCTGGAAAGATTCCTGGTGAAGTGAGTCAGCGTGCAGAGCAGCAGTAGTTGAAAGGACCTGAAATAATAATAAATATGTTATTTAATGTTCACATTTATACTGATTATAGATGAAAACGTACTTTTTAAATTATTTTCAGAGCGATTCCTGGTGGAGGGTCAGTGTGCAGAGCAGCAGTGGTTGAAAGTAACTGGAAAAAAAATAAACATGTTATTTATTGTTCACATTTATACTGATTATGGATAAAAACGTACTTTTTAAATTATTTTCAGAGCGATTCTTGGTGAAGGGTCAGTGTGCAGAGCAGCATTAGATGCAAGGACCTGGAAAAAAATAAACATGTTATTTATTGTTCACATTTATACTTATTATGGATAAAACGTACTTTTTAAATTATTTTCAGAGAGCGATTCCTGATGAAGGAGTCAGTGTGCAGAGCAGCAGTAGTTGAAAGGACCTGAAAAAAAATAAAATTGTTATTTATTGTTCACATTTATATTGATTACAGATAAACATATAACTGGTAACATGTTTCTGGAAAGATTCCTGGTGAAGTGAGTCAGCGTGCAGAGCAGCAGTAGTAGGACCTGAAATAATAATAAATATGTTATTTAATGTTCACATTTATACTGATTATGGATAAAAACGTACTTTTTAAATTATTTTCAGAGCGATTCCCGGTGAAGTGAGTCAGTGTTCAATTTTCACTCGATACTTGGCCATTCGATACTCAACAATTTGCTTGATATGGTATCTTGTGGCCTCCATGTGATTTCATCTTGATGACCAGAAATAGAATGTAGAAATTTACTATCAGTTTAAGAATTGCACTTGTTTTATATGAAATGCATTAACATGAATTCGAAACGGTGAAAATTTAAATTTAATGTAATATGTAAAATCCACATTGCATAATCTCAAATGATTCAAACGACCACATTATTTTTCAATAGTTGAATAGATTAGTGTATTAGTATTTGTTAATATTAATAATAAAACTACTGATGCTACCTAACTAATAAATTAACCCACATGCAAGACATATCGTGATCATTCGAATCATGAAATTCAATGCCTTAATGACTTTGTAAATTTCTAAAAGTTATAGTGACAACTAAAGTATTGATCAATCAATATCTTCAACAAAATCACCGCTTAATAAATCTATTCGTGCCAAATGCAATTCCAATAAATACCACATTCAGAGCGTCACAGTAACAATGTTCGTATAAAAACTGAAGGACTCTGGTAGCAGCAAACGCAAACCTACCCGCACCTGCAAAATACACAAATTATTATTGAATTTAGTTGATTATACATACATTATTAAATGTCATTGTTGATGCGTCACCAAATATTCAAATATTCATTCAAATTGTAACTATTCTTTGTCAATTTGTTGTTCAAATTGTAACTTTTTTTCAACTAATTTTGAAAACTAATTTTGCTTTAAAATTCTTGATGACATTATGATTGTGGTCCAATGTACACAATACTTCTGATATATAAATTGAAGTGAATTAGCAGATGATAATGATGTAAATAAGACTTCAAATTAAACGATCCGTATAAATGTACTCATAGTAATTCACAAAATGAATTAACAGTCATTTTTTACTTTCACAACTTTTTACTATTACTTTCGATTATTTCTTCTACACAATGACCGCCAGCCATTCAATTGTGAACTCTTGCCCAGTCAACAAAATAATAATATGTAGTTTTATATAACAGTGGGCACCAAATGATGCAAAATAAAATAATTAGATAAAATATATCCGGCGTACCTACGTCTTAGACAGTAGTACGACTTGAGCAAAAACTACATAAATCGAGCACACGTTTTCAAAAAAAAAAAAAAAAAAATGAGGAAAGGTTTCAATTAAATCTAAAACATCTTAAAACACGAAATGCAATCCGAGTGAATCCGCAAAGAGAAATATAATTAGCACAAGTGCAACGTACCAGGTGACGCTCGCAGGTCGCACGTACTCCACAGGCAGCGAAGGGTCAGGCCCGCTCGTCCGTGTTCGACGACTTCTCGATGTCTTCTTCCAGCAATCGCCACGATGGAAATGAACTCTCGCAATGACAACTCCCTCTCCGAACTTCTATAGTCGCAAAGCATAGATGCGCAAAAGACTTGTAGACGTGCGACTGCAGAGCGTGCACGTTCGCTCGGTCGAAGATGGCGTTTCAGGAACTCGAACGCCTCTTCTGTTTTGAAATCGAAACGACGTTTGTTTGAATCTTCAATTTTAACATTAAGGGTTTTATAAATCAAATAACGATATTCCATTCTTTTAGTAAACTCTCAAAAAATTTACACTGCAATGAATTAGTCGTTGGTTATTGAAATAAATAAATTTGGTGTAGAATAAATTTTCTTTTTTTGTCACTAACCTGTGTTTTACAGTACACTTGCTTGCTTTTCCTTTCTCAGGTATAAAATTTGTCAAATATTTTTACATTTGTAAATATACAGACAAATTTTTGACTGTTTTATTTATATATCACTCATATACATGAATAATTTTGAAGTGCTTTTAAATTTTGATAGAAAATTTAGTTCTACATTCCTGCAACACGTGAAGCCATTAAATATTATATAAATACAAACATACAATTATTTCAAGTTTTAACTTATTAGTTTACAATAAAATTACTAATGATGATACAAACTAGCCACAAAACATTTGTAAACTAACAAAGTTAGCGCAAAAGAGTCTTACTGTGTACTTATGAGAGTAGAGTTGGTTAAATATTTTGAAATATAAAAAAATCAAACCAAGGTCAAAAAAAATATAAATTAATTCAAAAAATGTTTAATATTACATTTTTCTTTAAATTTCGTTTACTTTAAATAATCAAAATCAAATGATATTCTGTGAGAAAACACAAAATAAGCAATTTGAATTATCTAGTGAAAACAAACCACTCCTTTGCAAATTTGAAAAACAATTAAATGAATAACATATAATAAATACTACTTTTTACATTTTATGATTATTTTAATTGATCATTACAATTTTTACAAGTGTATTTTAATAATTAATTATTTTATAACTACTTAAGACTAATTTTATAAAAAATTTAGTACAGTAATCTATGTGATTACATATTGATTTGATCAGTTAGTATAAGTTTTACAATGAAACAAAACTTTAAACAAAATTTTAGTTAGTTAGTTTCAAATCTAAATTTACTGCGATCATAATATAATAAACTACACAATTCAAAATTATGTATACAATTGTTAATTATAAAAATATTCTTCAAACAGCTTAAATGGTGTTCATAATAAAATAAAACCAATTTGCAAAATATAGAAAATTTAAAAATTTATTTTTAGAAATACGAAAATACCATACTAGATATATGTCAAAACACACACACACACATACACATCACAAACATTATAAAGTTATTGGTATATGTAAGAACGCAAGTAAATATATACACTAGTGATGTGCCAAGTCGAATCAAGTGATTCGAATCATTCGAATCAAGCTTTTAACGACTTGATTCGAATCAGATTTTACTTGATTCGAATCAACTCGTATCAAGCCGCGAAATATTTACTGTGTGCATGTATGAACACAAATTTTCATAAATATAAAAAAATGTTTTAATTTAATTCAATATTATAATAATATATATAATAATAATAATAAATATAAATAATAATAATAATACATATAAAAAATAAATCTTGAATTAAATCATGCGAGTCACCCGGCTTTAATACGCTTAAATGTATCACCCGACTGCACCCGACTCCAATTTATATGACTTTAACCGCATTCATTGTCTAACAATACCATCCGAGTTCCTATGACTCAAACCGACTTATTCCGACTTCAAGTCGAAATGAATTCATCCGAGTTCCTAAGACTCAAACCGACTTATTTCGACTTCAAGTCGCTATGAATTTATCCGAGTTCCTAAGACTCAAACCGACTTATTTCGACTTCAAGTCGCTATGAATTTATCCGAGTTCCTAAGACTCAAACCGACTTATTTCGACTTCAAGTCGCTATGAATTTATCCGAGTTCCTAAGACTCAAACCGACTCATCCCGACTTCAAGTCGTTATGAATTTATCCGAGTTTATATGACTCAAACTGAATTATACCGACTTGAGTTCGAAACATGTGTCCGCGTTTCAGCGTATCGACTTATCGAGATGCTGTGCGTATGGGTCTTGAGTGTTTATTTATTTTTGACTAAGCGCTGAGAGCAAATTTGTTCATGAAATATCAAAAACTCATTTAGATAATATTTATTATGCAATTTAGATTTTAATTATTATCAAAATAAACTACACAACGAGTTTTATACACATACAAAATTATCATATTTTAATTATGCAAGTAATGGCAAATTCACACAAATGAAATAATATCAATCTTTACAGTAGTGGATTGAATTTTAAGTCATTCGTAAGACGTTAGATTCAGCCCCTTGTTTAGATTAGATCTAAACAATCAATAATATAAACATGCATTCGTTCAACGTAAGATTAAGAATATTGTTTTATATGCTTTATTGATAGAGAAGTCTTTGGTTATATTTTACTGTAAATTCACTTGAAATATTAGTTATATTTGTAGCTAGTTTATTATTATATATATATATATATATATATAATATAAATGTATTCATACCTGCACTTTTTGGAATTAATTGCTTACTAAATTAATTATTTCACTTATAAAATTATTAAAATGATATTATTTCTTCTCTTAAATTATAATTGTTCATATATGAACTTGATTCGAATTGATTCGAATTATGATTCGAATCAGGTTTTTTTCTGATTCGAATCATTCGAATCAGGAAATTTTCGAGTCGGCACATCACTAATATACACACTATAATACTATGCTATACATAAATTTAAAATCTTGTTTAAATATACGTTGCATAACTTTAGCTTTTTTTATGCCTGTAAAGATAATTATATATTTCTCAAATTCATATTACTGCAGGCCAAAATATCAGACAAAAGTTGGAAATTTTGAGACTACTCTCCCTTCCTGATAGTTACCAGAGCAACAGGGAACGTGCAAAAAAAATTATAGCTTCACTAAAGGTTGAATACATTCAAACGTTGTTAATATTACTTAAATTTTTATTACTATTTATTCCTCCAGGCCAAGAATCCTGCCTGCCATCTAGATTTCGACACCAGGATTTACATTTCCCACATGATCCAGCCAAGGCAGCGCTTCAATGCGATTGCCAAAATGTTCTACGACTCGGATATCGTGTCTGGATTGTTGTCCAGATTGTCCTACTCCATCAATCATTATCTATGCCATCATTATCATTATCATTTCCTTATCTATGCCATCAACGTTCTCAAAGAAGTGGTCATTGGCAAAAATATTGAGCGCATGGCATAGCAAGTAGTATTTGATATAAACATATTCTATTCTTGTTTTGTAATCTTGGGGCCCAACAATATTTTATATTATATTACAAATGACTAACAATAAGTGGAGAAATTTTCAGATTTTTAATATTCCTCTTTATAGCATATAACAGATAATATAAGTGGTTTAGAAAGCAAACGTAATAATAAGAATCATATTTATTAAAATCATTTCATCTATATTTTTGCTTTATACAAAACATGACTTATAGTTAATTGCTAACAATAATTAATATTATTGTTAATTATAGTATAAAAAATGCATTTTTACATAAAATATATATTTTTTATTTTAAAAACAAGGCACCCATATGACTATTGCTATGTACAATTGGCATTTCATGCACACACACACATACAATATATATACACACACTTATAATATATATTATAAGTTATATACACATACAAACTTATATATATTATGAGTTTGTATGTGCATATAAATATAATACAACTTTATATTTAAATATATTTCATTTACATTTCATAATTATGAATTCCTGTTAATACTATGTTAAAAATAAATCTCAAAAATATTTCATTATTCATATAATTTTAAATTATATCCTAAATTATTCACAATATTATCTATTAAATGCTTTATCTTACATTAACAATCTTAAACACTGTCATTTACACGAGTATTGGATAAATTTCTCTTTGAATTAATATATAGCTACATAGGTATCCATTTACCTGTTTTATAGAAACAAAGATGTATTAAGGTTTTTTCTAGAAATCTAATTTCATATTTTTTTGACCATCATAAACGACTGCTGCAAATTCACTAAATTAGGACTCGCGATAATTGGCAAGCAATTTCTTTATAATAAATAAATTAATTATATAACTTCCCGGGCAATGATAAGCAATAGTAATCAGTAATAGTATTAGTTATTAAATCAAGTAGATTATAGATATACTGTAATGTATTTGGCTTAATGATTGAAGAAACAATTATAAAATATATGCTATGTAATATTATATATGTTATGTAAGGTTTTTTATAATTATACGTATAGTCAACCCGCCGATAAATGCGTTCTGTGAAAGAGCTATGAAACAACTAAAACCGACGCCGTTCACAGTTATGAAGTAAGTTGTTTTACAATAATAAAACATAAAACAACCGATGTTAAAATTTATATTAAAAACCTTTACACCAATATCTAATTATTAGAGACATTCAAAGGTTGTACAAAAGAAACTTATGGAATGTTAAACAAAAATTTCGTTGTAGAAGTACCAGCTTATCGGAGATCTGTCTCATTTTGGGCTCTATGTATTATGGAAACCGCATTCTCAGAAGGTTGACTGTATTAGTTAAACTAAGAAAAATACTGCAATACTCACTACTTACCGAGTTATGAAGGATCCAAGTGTTGATTTCACTAAAACTGGCTTGGTTTGTTTGACACAGGCATACAGCACGACGACCCCTTTAGTTGGCGGGTCGTCGCGCCTATATACTGTGCCTACAAAACACAAAATGAACTACCTCGTTCGATCATTACCACGGTTTCAACAAACCATAGATCAACAATGCTACATTGTAAAGATAAGAACTTGTCAACCAACCCATAACCAACCATTTGAAATTGTATGAAAATATCTATAAACTTACCCTCGATTGGTATACCTGCT